ACCCGCTGATCTTTGCATAGCCCAGAATGTGATAGACAGACGCACCCTTGCGCCATATCTTGTCACTTGGCTCGTCGGATCTGACCCCCAAGTGCCACTCTGTGGCGTGCAAGTCCGTTCGACAACGGGGATGGACACTGACACCTTTCGCATCGAGTGCTTCCAAGACTTGCCTGGTGTAGTAGTCGAGAACCGTGTTTTTCCTGAGGTCCATCCGGTCGATTTGACTGGAGTTCAAGTGCAGGAGTCCCAGGCTTTTCAGCTCTTCCCTGCGAAGTTTGAGCTCGTCTATGATCAGGTCTCTTGCCTTGACCGAAGCGCCTAGCATTGCATCTACCCAGTTGTCATGCAAATTGAATTGGAGTGAAGAGTCCTTTCCGGCTTTCACGAGTAGATCAACGGCGTTTGCGCATGGGCAGTCATCCGAACAGCCCTGCGGGCTGTAGCCTATGCATATCTTCCCACTCCAGCTGAGAGCGCTGCTAAGTAAAGTGGACTGACTTTGATCGAGTAGCTGGAGGCTGGCAAGGCCATAGTGTTCGACCATGATCTGTAGGCCTTCGGGCCATCCCACAAGATAATTCAGCATCTTCTGGCCGAATGGGTCCATCTCGGACAACTCTGACATGTTGGCATCTTTCTTGAGGATGTCGAGCAGCATCGTTTTGTTTTGCCGGACGATGGCTCCCATGAGGTGGCCTTCGTAGGCTGCAACTGATTAGGCCCTGTCGAATAATCAGGTCTTTAGTCGGGATACTTACCTTTCCTCATCTTCAATGATATAGCAGACGCTCTTCTGAAAGCTTGCATTGCTTCTGCGTCGCAGTTTTGAGGGGGCATTTTCGCATCTTGTAGAATCAGCGGAGTTACGCTATCATCCGGCAAAAGGATATCGAGCGCGCCCACGTTCTGCGCAAGAGTGTCCAAAGGTGTAAATGAGAGGTAGATGTACAAATGAAACGGGTATCTGTAGATCAATATTAGCATTCTGGCTTCTGGTAGGGCACTAAGAAACGCACGATCCATGCTGGTCTGGTCGGTCCCGTGGAACTCCAGCATCAACCAAAAACGCAAATACCCTGTTTCTATACCCTTGCCAAGTTCTATTGGCCGCTATGCGAGACATGACTCCCAGAAGACTGCAACCATAGTTATCAATCTCAAGGGGAGACGATGTTTTGGCCATGAACGTGGCCTGCAGTGTCTTCAAGCCGCATTGAATCAGGCCACTGCACTCTTCGTCACTCCACTCCCGATGAAAGAATGCATCTTCCAAAAGGCGAATGACATTCAGAGCCGGGCTGTTCTGGCGGAGGGGGTAGTATGTAAAGGATGGCGATATGCCAAAGCCCCCCGCACCGAAGGTGGCGGACATCGAGAACGTGATAGCGGCAGGAAGAATGGCTTTCAGGGTACTTGTCGAGATACCGATAGACCATGAATCATTCAACGTCGTGCATACGCTAGCGAAAGAGCACCAGGACGCATGAACGTTGCCAATTAGGCTTTCTTGCTCCCAGAACGCCAATCCAATCCGTTGTCTCCTCTGTCTGCATACTTGGCGTGGCTTGCAGGTGCATTGGAATCCAGGATAGGAACGGCTTCGCGAGAACGGACGGTCGGAATCGTTTGCTGCACCAGCCGCCGCATTTCCACTGTCAACTTCTGCAACATCGCAGAAGTTCTTCAAAACGGCTGGTTTGGAGATCAATCGTGGCAGGACCGCCCTGCCATCGGAACATGAAGACATCAAGGACGTCAACATCATTTTCAATTCTTTGAGATCTTCTCGGACCAGCGTCGTCTCCTGTTGACTTGAGGCCACAGGCAGATTCGCTGTTTGAGTATGTCTTCTGGACAGACGTCTGAACAGCCAGATGCATTTGAGAAACTCCCCGCGACAATGAATCAAGGCCGGTTTTCAGCCCTTGCAATTCTTCACCATGGCCGATGGAAAGCTTCCTGTACGTAAGATTAGAACAGAACTGTGAGAAGTCAAAGCGTCACATACAACTGGACCTGTAGCAGGGCCGCCTGAAGAGCTCTATTGGCGGCATCCAACTGCGCGTTGAGTCGATAGAGATGATCTTTCTGGAAAGGATACAGAAGCTTCGATTTCTGTTTCTTTGCCCTCTTCATGACCGGATTAGGGGAGTTGGCATTATTCCCGACGCGTATCTTTTCAACAAATTTGCTGAGGATGGAAAGTTCGACCTCCGCTGTCGTCATCGCTTCTCTAACAGCGGTGATATTCACGCCGCTAAGTTGATACTGAAGTGACTTGATCTGTTGCAAGAAAGAGTTCATAGACTTGCAACATCTCGTTGTGTACTCCATGTCTTCTTTGCGGCACTGGACTCCATCGAGATAATTACTGATGTTGGCGCCGACTTGAAACCCTAGGGACACCACCCCAAGGACTGTTCCCAAGACATCTGCCATGCTCGGCGTGTTCGTGTTTCCCTCTGTTGTTACTGTTGTTTAGACGAAGGTCGGTGCTCAATGAAGAATAGAAGTCACAATCAGAAGCCCAGGCGATCAAGAAGTTTGCAGACGACTCTGAAAGAATGAAGTCGAGATGTCGGAGAGGTCGAGGAAAGGGCTTGGGCATGACGAAGACCGGTGAGATAAAATCCTGCGCGACCTCTCGAAATCAGGCTGTCAGATACACCTTGACATAGCCTGGGTCCAGTATTACAACCCCTGGATGTTTGCTACCCCCAGAACCAATCTAGCGTACCAAGTATCCAGCATTCTTTATCAACTTAACAAGACCAAACCTACTTTCTGTTGCGAAGCTTGGTGTAGCTTACGTGCTAAAAGTCTTCAATGCCACGCTTGCAAACATTCAGGGGCTCTATCATACACGTTCACCACGCCAGCCTGCGGCACAGCTCACAGCCGCAGAATGAGGTCATCCACACCTGCATTACCTCTTTCGGCTTATTAGTCCCCCTTTCAATTAAATGAGAAGACCGGAAGTCTAGTAATTGAGTATTTCGAACGTTTCCCGGCAACAATCGTCAAAGGCTAACCACCATTCTCCAACACATAACCTCGTACAAAGACTGGCCTTCACAGAGTCTGGAGCGCGACCTGCATTAAGCAGGATTGAATGGAGGGCATGCGAGTGAAAACACTATCAATTATTGAATTCATCTATCTTGTCCTATAGATAAGGGTGTCCGCCCCAGTTGGTTGCGTCTGAGAGGACAGTTGAAAGGTTGAAAGGAAGTCGCGGTGCATATGCAAGTGAAGCAGACCCAACGCCATTTATATGCCATGTGATTTTTATCTGATGCTCATGAAGTCGTACTGCATTTACTGGCTGCCGACGTAGTTCTCGCTGGTAGCGTCGCCGACGGTGATGGTGACGTTGTAGTTGGTGAGAGTGGTGCTGGAAGAGGCACCGTACAGGCTATAGACGCCGGCGGAGACGACGTACGTGCCAGCGGCGAGCTCGGCAGGGATGGTCACGGTCTCGGTGATGTTGTCAAGAACATTGGACTTCTCTGTTGGGCACAAGGTTAGAACAAATTTGGTGGTTTACGTGGGGTCCGCGGGAGGCTTACCAGGTCCGAGGTAGAAGGAGCCGATGACAGTGGAGAGGGTGCCGGGGTAGGCAGAGGCCTCGGGGGCGATGCCGAAGGCGATGGCAACGTCCTGGACGGACTGGATGTAGTTCTCGGTCTCGATGATGGCGTTGACCTGGTCGCCGGCCTTGACGGTCTCGGGGAAGGCAATGCCGTAGATGCGGGCGTTGGCCAGGGCAAAGAGGGAGGCGGCGGCGGCGATGGAAGCGCGGAACTGCATTTTGAATGATTTGTAGGGGGGTTGGTGATTAAGGTAGGTGGATTGTTGTTGTGGTTGGTTCAGGAGTTCAGATGAGTAGGAAGTCTAGATGCGTGTTGGTGTGGACAGGAAGAGATGGGATGGAGAGGATTTGGCCGATCTTTAAGTATTCCATCACAACATCGAATGAACATGGAGACTCAACCCCAGCCGCCTCCATATCCCCACGGTTATTTTCGCATCACCCGACGTCAGGTTCCCGGCACTCAGCCAACATGTCGGTAGGGCGGCGCACATCATCTGGGCATGACATCGTTGGGTCCCCTCAATCCTCCCCCGTGCTAGCCGAGCGAGCGGCTCCCGACTCCAGCGGGGTGGCGCTGCGGCTCACGTCGCCATCGGAGCGTTTCCTGGGTCACTTGGAAGACTTTGGGAGAAGAGCGCAGCCTGCAGGACCCCTAGAAAGTTTCCTAATCCGCCTATTCTTAGCAGTTTCCGCCAATTTAGCGGGTTCTTGGTTCTTCCCGGGGAACATTGCAGAGTTGAACAACGTCAGTCCCGGAAAAGGGGGCGGGAAAAGAGGGAATTCGGTCGGTCGGGGGAAGCGTGCCGCTGACACGCGCGGGAAAAGCGACGGGGGCTGAGGCCCAAAGGTGGCACTAATCAAACTTTGGCCTACTTTTCCCCGAGTGTTTTAGTGCCGATCCGGCCGATCTTTATAAATAAAAACGACTTGTTTTTGACAAGCTCTCGTATTGCCCCGAGGGAAGAAGGGAGCTTCGCTGCGTGGCGTTGCTTTTTTCTTCGCTTCGATTCGAATAGACGGCGCTGGACCGGGCTGTCCTTACCGCCTACCAACGGTAACGTTTCAATGGGCCAAACAGAACAAACACGTCAGAGTCAGGCAACCGACTAGCAGACAAACTTGACGTCTATGTTAGCATAGTGTTGTTCCTCCATATGTGGATATGACCAGCATGGCGCAATGAAGTGCTGGAGCTGAGGAATTCGGGTAGGATGCGCCGCTTTTTAGGGGTCTAACCAACCAGCTGCCGGCAGTAATCCGGTGTGCACAACTGTCCGCTGCATGTCGCTGGGAGCAGAAGCTCTGCTTGACGATCTTCTCGTATTTGCGGGGCAAATCGTACCTGCCTGATATCTGGCCCCATATAATGGACTTAGTATCCTGCTCTCCCATCAACTGATTAGTCACCTTGCCAGAGTGGTTAATGGGCTGGCCTGCTATTATCTGCTATCAAGCCAGTGTCTTCGGACGCGCAGGTTCGAATCCTGTGGGTGACGATTTCTTTTGCATTTTCTTCCTACACCACCTCACCGTTTTTTTTTTTGTCCTTAATTCTCACTGCCTCTCCACGTCGCTTGCATGAGCATTGAGCATTCAGATTTACCCACGAGTCATTTGCAAAGCTATACGCATAACGGGCGATGCGTAGATATTGTATTAGATTGTTTTTCATTACAGTTCCTATAGCAGCACAGCTCTAACGAAATTCAACGTTACTTCCTGTTGCTGGTATTGATGCCTAGCTAGACGCGTCCTGGATTGCACGCTCACGTCAATGAGCCACCAACATGGCATTGGTTTCGCACATCCTTGGACGCCGTCGCATCTTTTCTTCCCCTCCAACGCACAAGCTTCATGGCTTGGCACACTAGATCGGCCCGTGGACGCACGTCAGATGCCCCTACCATTGCGCCGCCCGAAAAACGGCGGAGAATAAGACACCTCAGGCTGATCCTTGAAAGAATACGAGGATTTGCCTCTTGGATTAACGAACGCACCAAGATTTTTCACTCTACGATTCCAATCAATCGCGTTAAGGCGCAGGGCCAATTCACAAATATTCTTGTACATCTTGAGTGGTGAAATTGCCTGGGCACTTGCCAACTCATAAACATGCGATAAAGTCCATGCCTTCCAAGCCGAAGCTCTCAATTGCCTTGTTACTGCGGTGTTTGACTCGACCTCTAGAGCACAGGAAATGGCGAAAAGATTTGATGGAGAAGAATCATTAGGGCGGTGACGTAGTCCGTATCGTTGCGGAGGTTCACTAGCCCAAGGGTCACTCAAGGGACTAAGCCCAGCAAGGCGGCTTAGCTGGTGATCGCGGGCTTCCCATCGGATCCGACCTCAGACAATGATCATGCTAAGAATAGAAGAAGCCTGGGGAGACAAAACTTGATGCAGGGATTTAATGGCATCAGAGACAAAAACGGCAATTACCAGAATGAGATCGATCTGCATTTCCTCAAGTCCCAACACAGCTTCCCGTGAGTTGACACTCTGCACTCATGTTTTTCTTTGATTCTTTTTTTGAGCTTTTGACGAACATCTCGTATTCGTCGGCTGAACACTGACTACATGGTTGATCCAGGAGTTCTCTCCCACTGCACTCCGTAAGTAATGCACCCGAGCTCCATGGCCGTTGCGACCTCGAAAAGTTTAACAACAATAACATCGCTACTATTGTGCAGCGCATCCTTTTATTTCTGCGCAAAAGTCTAGCAAGGCTTGTGACTGAGTGGCTGTTGGTGCGCAAAGTCTTCTTCAACCCAATCGGCTTCCCCTTCGAGATCCTGAATCGTCTCTCCGGCTTTCACCGAGGTGGAGAATACCACCGAGTGTATGTTACCGGGTTAAATGCCCCACAATCTCGGTGGGCCACTAATGGCCAGAACGTTGCACTCGGTGAGGTGAGCACACCGAGACAACAGAGGCTACGAGCAGGAAATTGAGACGATGGGCTTCAAAAAATTCTGCTCTCTTCCAAGATGACTCACGTTCTCTTTCCAGTGCTATGAGAAACAAAAATGATTGAGTATTATCCAAGAGGTCTTCTGCCCTCAAGCAGTTTGAGTCTCTCGAGAGTTTGGAAATCCGCATTCCTCGTCACGAAAGGTGCATAAATCAACAACAAAACTGATTCATCGACGTCAGAAAATATCCGAACATCCACAATCTCAATGTGTGATTACAAGTGCATGTCCTATCACATCGCTTAGTTCAACGCGTCTGAAGCTGGCAGTTGATTCGCTCAACTCCACAGTCTAGGATTTGCCAAGAACGATCCTTCGTCCATCATGAGGTTAATTCGTAAAGCCTGATCCGTCATAGAGAGTTGGAATGGTGCATATAGTAAGAGAAGTCCGAGAGATAAGCCGTCCATGAGAATCCTACCGGTCAATTGTGTTCCACGAATGATCTCAACATATTTTGTTTGTAGTTCCATGGTCTGTTGCCAATTGCAACTGGGAATAGAGCAATCTGAGACCCCCTTTTCACAAATCTGAATATTCGTTAGCAGCAATAATTAGGATAGTCCAAACGGTGCTTACTGTTGTCCTAGGAATACTCCCTAGTTACTCGCGTGTACGATCACTCACTCGGGGATAGCTTCGCGATCGGCACTCACCTCTAACAACGGATGTGACCTCCGCCTGTGAGACATAGAATGCCAAGGCCTCTGATGTGTTGATGTTGGCTTTCATTACGCCATTATTGGTCATGAGAAGTCTGTCTGGATGTTGAAAGATGTCAATTCGTGGACTCGTCGCGACAGTACGGCTATTCTAAACCCGCCAATGTCGAAAAAGCCTCGCACTTCGAAGGCTTGTTCTCCGACGAACACGAACGGTTGTATGTTACAACGGGAGAACGTAAACCATCCCGTAGCATTGAGGTATATAAGACAGGTCAATGCAATTAATCGTGTTTGCATTCATCGGCACGTTTCTACCAGACAAGAAACATATCGGCTTTTATCATTCCTGAGTCACAAAAGAAATCTTCACTCATAAGACTGTAAGTGCACATGCCAAAAACTCATTCTTGGACTCGAAGACTTCACGAGTGTACCCTGAACTAACCGGGACGATTTCGTAGCCTTTAGACAACCACCATGAAGTTATTCGCCGTCGCCGCTATCGCTTTTGCGTCCGTTACTGTCGCCGCTCCTGCGCCCGAGGGGCAGGCTACGTCCATCAAGCTGAGCAAAGACTACGTCGACGCAATCATCGCCGCATACCCTGACGTTCACAAGCGCGACTGCAGCTTCGACTTCAGCTGCGGCTGCATCTTCTGCACTTGAGCGGGACCACTTTGGTGGATGGTTGAGAGGGAAGCTAGACGGGTTCACTTGGTTCATCTGTCGATGGTCAATAATTGTACAACCTCAGTCTTACCGCGCGGTTCGCATCTACAGCTTGGATTATTTGATTGCAATACATCTGTCCGTCTTCCTTAATAAGCCATGCGCAATACTGCACTATCCATGACGTTGGTAATTATTTTTTGTCATGATTTATCACTTGGCTAGAAATGATGCTCAAAATGCGGTTGATAAAAGCCGTCCCCTTCAGCTGTGCTATGTGAGTATTCTGCTCTATAAAAACCTGAACGGAGTTTCACGGGACCCTGATTCGTGACCGTAAATCATCGGGACCTTCCGCTCAAGTACCTCTGCCCTAGACCGGACATGCACTGCCCCTCCTCGGCGCCGGCCGATCGAGACCCAGAAAATCTCGGAGCACGCTACGGCGGGAGCACCCGCCCGGAAGCGGATCATCCGGATCAGCTTCGGAAGGTTTTACCGCACTGGGCTGCCGAGAGCAAGAGCCGCCGGAAACAACGCTCCGGCCTGTGCATCTGAGTTCACGTTCTGGAAATGCGGTCGACAATCGGACGTCCAATACTTGCAGAGGATGTGCGCAATGCCACCGCATGCTGCAATCATGATGAAATTCGCGTTGCAGGACACGCATATGCTGCATGACGTCACGAATACACCATAGACATGATCACTATCGAACTGAGGGTTTCCAGAGACCAAAAACAGAAAAGGAATCGCAAAGACACCAAGTCCGGCGGTGAGCAGGTCTAAAAGAACATCGACAGACCCAACCGTGGCACTGAACCCAAGGATCCCGCTTAGCGAGCGACATTGCAATCTCGCTCACAGTGAGCAATGGCGACCAAGTCGGAAACGAACCCCGCCGCCGGCGACCCGATTACCACTAAGAACCAGGTCCTGCAAGCCGGCGCCTCGGCCGTCCAGGTCTGCTTTTGCCTGCCGATGCGACATATGGATAGTGAACTCCATCGTGCTAACCGGACAACCAGGACTTTGCGCCGCTGAAGAACGTCTGCGCGCACCTCAACGCGTTCCACGCCTACGCATCGGACCCGTCCCGGGTGGTTGAGGCGAACCACTACTGCGGACATTTGAACGACGATGTCCGACAGTGCATCCTCTACGACAGCCCCGAGCCCCACGCGCGCATCATTGGCATCGAGTACATGATTTCACCGAAATTGTACGAGACGCTGGATCCGGAGGAGCGGAAGCTGTGGCATTCCCATGTGTACGAGGTCAAGTCGGGGATGCTCATCATGCCCCAGCCGTCGTTGCCCGATGCGCTGTGGGAGGCGGTGGAGAACAAGGAGATGGAGGAGATCGTTCGTGTCTACGGCAAGGTCTATCACCTCTGGCAGGTTGACAAGGGCCATCAGCTGCCCCTAGGAGAGCCGCAACTCATGACTAGCTTCACGGCGGAGGGACAATTCGACTTTGAGAAGTACGTCGGTGACAGAGACCGGCGGTTCAAGACGGATTATAAAGAAAAGCAAGAGGCGCGGAAGCATATTGCCTCGCCGTCGGTCCATCCCGACGCTGACCAAGCCTGGAAGAAGGCACAGCAGTAGAAGGGGAAGCCGAAGGGGCTGAGGTGCAGAGCGTCAAACACTAATGAGGTTAGATGCGACAGCCGCTGGGCTGGGTTGCAGTTCTGGCTGGAAATAGGCAATCTGCGAGGTTGATGCATCGTGCCGCCGAGAAAGGGGACCAGCCGCTCCTAAATCCCCGATCATAATCATCATTGGTCCAGGCGTCGACTTTTTGGCATAAGGTTGCAAGCGGGTCGAACAGGAGAACGGCGACGCGAACGCTCGGCGGGGCTGGATGGGAGGGGAGCATAGCAATTTTGGGCAGGTAATTAAGAACTAAAGTTTTACAGTTGCGGAGGGCAGCGCGAGACGAGATTGAAATCCATGTGAACACGGAGGACGGGGGCGCCGGTCGCGAGACTGAGAGAGAGAGCGTTCGAGTTTACGTGTGTGGACCAATATCATGAAGAAACTGGCCAAGTGACGACACCACAGCGAATGGCTGTCTTGCAAAGACGCAAAGAACCCCGAGCTATCTCCTTTTTTGCGACCCTAGTGGCTCGATGTCGATGCTTCAGATTCGTCTCGAAACGTCCAAAATCCACCCACGAGCGATGCA